GCTTCTGCTAGGTCTTCAAGCTAATCAATGGCCTGTTACTACTTCCCCTTCGTCAGGGTATCAACGCTCATCCTGGCTCATCCCAAAGCGAAACACCGAGCTCGGGTGATTGAGCGGTTCATTACAATTTCACACCAACTCCGTCGATTGAACAATTACGATACCCTATACGCCCTCATATCTGGTATGCGAGAGGCCTCTGTCGATCGATTAGCCTCCACTCATGCCCTAGTCCAAGTCGCGCCTAACATCGAGAAGGATTTCCAGTCGCACCTGAAGCTGATGGACCCTCGAGGTGGCTATGTCCATTATCGACGAGCCCTGCAAGCTGATATCTCGAACGGACGAGCCTCGATCCCCTTGCTCACAACACTCCTTGGACTGGTGAACAGGCTGCAAGCTGTAAGACCGGATGATAGGCGGAAAGAGGATAACAAGGTCCAGTGGGACAAGTTTGCGCGGTTTGGGGAGATTCTGGGCGTGATCAATGAGTGTCAGTCGCGTGGACCAATCGTCAGGGGAGAGGTGAATGACAGGTTTAGGAGGATAATCGAGGATACCCCTGTGATCTCGAATGAGGATGTGAGTGTAGGCTATGCCACGTGCTTTGAACCTATCGGGGATGTTAGGATATAGTATGGAATTGTTTGTGAAAAGCCGTCGCTGATTCTTCTCATTCCTTCAGGGTCTGTGGGAGAGAAGTCAGCTGCTGGAGCCTAGTGGAGGGACAGTGGGCGGTAAAGTGTTGAAGCGATTAGCTACCCTTGGCTTCTCATGATGCGATAAAGGAGGGGAGCGCAATCAACTTGGTCGTTGGATGGGTAGATAAATATGTTTGTACCACCTGTATCAGTAATTCGTTTACGCAGGATGCAAATTGAGTTGCCACCGTGATTATCGGTCGGCCCATGAACGAAGTCGACAGTCCTACAGCATGAATGGCATGACTAAGCACGCATGAGAGGTGGGTGATAGACGATACATCATGAGTCATAAGGTTCATAGGTAAAATGAAGGACACAAGACAAGACATGACGTGGCGTGGCGTGAATGAAAGTTTAGATCGAGTCGGCCGGACCAATGCGAAATGAAGATGCTATGTTATGCTACGAGACGTGGCCCAAACCGGGCTGAAAGAGTAGAATGACGATTGTTCTGGTCCGCCCATTTAAGCGAACATGAGACCGGCGACACCGGCGACGACACCGACGACAGCGCCGTTGACAACAGCACCGGAGAAGGCGCCGCTGGAGGAGCCTGAGGCGGAAGCGGCGGCGGATGCAACGGCCGCAGTGCCGGATGAAGCGGCGGACTTGGCGCCAGAAACGGCGCTGGAGGCGGAAGCGGCAGCACCGGAAGCCCTAGATAGATTGTACACGACAATCAGCACAACGCGTTTCTATGGCTTTGATAAGATTGTCTGATGAAGCTGAAGCAAAAGGGATCAAGGGCTCACTTAGAGGAGGCAGCGGAGGCGGCTGAAGAAGCAGAAGCGGCAGCTCCGGAAGAGGCGGAGGAGGCAGCGCTCGAGGCAGAAGTCATAGCGGCGGAGGCTGAGCCGGAAGAAGCACCGGATTGGACGGCACCGGCAGCAGCAGCAGTGCTGGTAGCAGCGGGGGTGGAGCTGTGCGTGGAAGACCGACGTCAAATTAGCCGCGAAACACTTTAGATTGGGGCGTCGATCAGAGGCGGGAAGCGAAGGATGCAGCGGTAGTACTCACACAGAGGAGACAGCGCTGGAGGAAGAAGCGTTCAAGCAGGAGTCGCTAGATCCAGCCTCTGCAAGACACACGAACCAATGTCAGCTTCCTTTCCTGATCAAGCTCGGATATGGAAAACGCATTGCCGATACTCACGGACAGAGACGGCCTGGTTGTAGTTGACGACACCGGTGGAGTCGGTGATCTTGAGGGTGATGGAGGTGCCAGCGGCGATGTCAACGGTCCAAGTGAGCGAGCTTCCGGTCTGCTCTCCAAAGTCCTTGCTGTGGGATGTAGGGTATGTCTTTGTCAGGACTCTGATCACATCTCGGAGTCTGATATACAGGATCTGGAGAAACTGTCCAATGTCCACTCACATGGCAGCAGCGGAAGGCTGGGAACCAGGAATGACGGCGAGGTAGTAAGGGGCGGTACCGCCGCTCCATGAGATCAAAGCGGGCTGACACTGAATCAAGGACGCAGGGGTGGAGATGGTGAGGTCGGCCATGGCGACACCGGCCATGGCAGCGAGGATGACGAGGGACTGAGCGAACATCTTGCTTAGTTGATTACTTGAGCGAGTGAGTGAGTGAGTGAGTGTGGTTTGTAAAGAGAGCGTAAATGTGCACAGAGGCAACTTTTTCTATAGTTTCGTTGAGAGGAAAGAGTAGAGACTTAGATTGAGAATATGTGATACGAGAAGAGAGAGAGAGAGCAATGAGAGGAGGATGAAGGTCGTGGTGTTTATATTTCATAAGTGATGGATTGTTTGTTGCAACCGGCGGCGATGCTCGTCGGTGAGCGCGAGCATCGTGAGCCAGCTAAGCATCTGCGCTACAGCCTATTGTTTCAGTGTGCAGCTTGCCTGGCTGAATCGAGGCCGAATAATTGGTTACTGACTGACCCTGATGATCGACAATCACATTTTCCGTCACAGGCCGGCGCAAATAGAAAATAAAGCCAGGCCAGTTCTAGACCTAGCTGGACTTGAACTGGTCAAGCCGGTCCGGTTCACCTGAGAAGCTGTAAGCTGTTTGTGGGGGGGGATTCATGCGAGGAGTTTGTATATCCTGAGAACCTGAAGGAAGCAGACGTAAACCAAACAAACAAACAACGCAGAGCAGATCAGCACAAGGCGAGGAGAGGCAAGCAAGGTATCGGTCGTGAACGCGAAATTTCGTGTGACGCAACGTTGGAATCGAACCCTACAAATATTTACCCTAGGACTACATTCACTACAATCCCTTGACTTTACCGTGACTGACCGCGGCAGATCGATGCGATTGGCAGGTTTTGAATTGTGAAGTTGGTGCGCGTGGAGAGGAACGGGGCCATTCTTTCGAACTCTGATCGGCGGTCGATTGATACCGCCATACCCGCCAGTGAGGTCAGGTAGCCGCTTACAAAATAAAGGAAAATCATTCTCACTCGTCTATCCCCTTTTTATTCTGCCCTGCACTCGGTTTTGCCAGCGCGAGTCTGGCCTGTACGACGGTACCAAACCTCCAACTTCGACGCGCCGCTATCGTCATTCTCCCTGGGCTGCCAAAAATAACAGCATCGCAAGCTAGAGGTTGTGTTTTTCATTCCGTTCAGCACTTAATGCAAAACCTAGCTGCTAACTGTTCCTTATCGTAATTAACATGTCTTTGTTCAAAGACCTGCGGGTGATGCAGCGAGTCGACCTGTCACATGCACTTGGGCCACCTTTGGCTAGCGGTGGGATGTAACGCTCGATGTGGCGATAGTCAACGTGTGCATGCCTAGCTAGAGTGGTGATAGCTTCCAACAGACAAATCTGAAAGCCTCAGTATCCTTCTATGGTCAGCTCCGTCCAGTAGGGGCGATGAACGAGTGGCTACCTAGACGAAAGAAAGCCACGAAGGGTTGGGTACTTCGTTACCTGCCTCGTATTGTGTCGCGCTGGGAACGTTCTGCTAGCCGTTGTTGGACTGTGGGGTATGGGCTGCTTCTCATCAGCGTGTGAAACTCATCCCATCATTTGCATCCAGCCAGAACAGTGACACATAGGTTACTGGCGAACAACTTGGAAGCGGTGCCCCTTGAAGCGATACACAGACAATGGACGTGGTAGGTGATATAAGCACGACTCCTTGTGTCAGGTGCGTCACTGTCGACGATCGATATCTCAGTTGTCCGGGGCGTTACCTTGTGGTCGCGCTCCGCGGTCAATGGAGCCACACGGTTGAGGTATCAGGTGAGTCACTCGTATTAGGTAGCGCTTCGGCTGCAGCTCTTGTCACATGTGCTTGCGATTGTTCAGACGGATGCAGGAGTTTGTGGCAAGCCTTAGACTGTCTCATTTCTCCAGCTCGTCAAGTCTTCACGTCTTCAGATCATTACTTGTGCTCGACTTCGTGCATATCCGCTATTCAATTGCTCTCTGGCACAACGCATCACTGGTACACCAAGGGTGCGTCCCTTCCCGATGAATTGTAGGCACGAGAAAGCGTGATGTGCTCTGACCGATACATTCGCTCACAGCCTCTCGTGGCAGTGGGCCTTGCCCGCCACGACGTGTTGGGTGGCAATGTGGCATAAGGCGATATGGCAGGCTTCCATGCGACAACATGCGCTACCCCTGGCGCCCAGGCGATACCGACTGGCCAGCCCCCGGGGCAATACGATCAGGACGCTACAGACCTGCACGCACAAGTCTCGAGACCAATTCTCCTCCGCCTCAAATTAGAAGCCTTCAAGTCCGCGCCGTCGAATCAACGACCTGTCGAACGCGCACTTACGGCATCACTTCGAACCAAATATTACGGATGGCTGCTGTACGTGATTATGTATGCGCACACGACATTTCGTAGATCTCGCGCGCTTTATGTGAACGGTAGATACTCTCAAACCTCAAAACCTACCGTAGTACCATCACAGGTGAGGCGGATGGCACGAGTTGGTGGCAGCATCTGACGCGAACATCACCGCTTGCACAAACATCTCCTCACCCCCCGGGTGCCCCCAGTCCGACTACACCGAGCACATGTATCGAGGCGAGGCGAGATTGGCTGCACCGCGGACGTTTGACACTACAGACTGACTCTCGTCCGAAGACAGGATGACTTCGGAGCCTCAGCTCTTCGACGGGCGCCACACTTGAGGCGTTGTCTAATCTACGTCCTTTGGCATCTCTGTTGACTACTTTCATGCTCTCCAGCACTAAGAGGGGTTGATCAGACGTATCGCTGACGGTTCAACACCACAAACAGTATCGCTGAATTCCAAAAAAGACTATATATAGCATCCAAAACTTGACCAAACATCAAAAACCGCTTCGGCAACTTGCGATAGTGGTTATTCGGTAGGTCTAGAATGGGAGCTTCCCAGTTAACCTATGCCGTCAGGCTCGCATGTTCGAATCATGCAGTTGTCGTTCTTTTTGAGCTCTCTGACGCCTTTTTGGCTCTTGTTATGCATGGAAATGAAGAGAAACGAGCGAAAGAAGTCGATTTACGGAAGAATTCCAGTTAAAAAGCCCTAGGGACGTTTGGTGGCGTCGAGGTGGGCAATGTGCCACATTGGGTAAATATAGCACGTGCCTCACCCTTTTCAGCAGGTACAGTGAGGCGCATGCTGTATTGTATGGCACCCTTGACTACCTTTCGAGATGACAGATTTCGCAGCTGTGGGTCGAGTCTCGTTGAATCTGCTTTGCGGGAGTAGGTTCTGTACTGTGCCAGTAGGAGAAGAGCATCTGCGATTGCAGGCTTGTTCCACCCAGCATTCTGGTCTGGAAGGGCTTTGTCATTGGCTATGTATCCGTGCTACTTACTTTGAATCCGTAAAAATGATCATCAATGAGCTTTCTTCCCAAAGTGAAGCCTTGACCGATCAATCGAGCGGTCCTCCACGCCGAGCGAGTCCGTGTGTTGAACTGCAGATTGCTCGAACCGCGAATCTCAATTACATTGCCCTCAGATGCATCGGACTGGGTTGGAACCAGCGCAGGGCAGAGCAGAGCAAGACTATAATTGAGCTTGCCAGTCAGGAGCAAAGTCCATTTCAGCTTATCGATGACTGTGCTCGGTGTGGCGATCAACGACGATTGCATGATACAAGTCTGCAAGCGAAGTACAAGGCCGATCTCATGGTCATGGCACGTCAAGAAATCCCGACGTTCCTGTCGCATGTCAATGAATCGGCTGTGTCTAGCATGGAGCCCTGAATCATGCAACGCACAATTGCATAAGGACTATCCATGATATCCAGTTCAGACTTTTGATCTAAGTATATACAACAATATCTCTCCTTGGCCCTAGTTCTGCAATCCGTGCCGTTCCACCCAGCTTCGCCAATCCGTATTTCACCGTATCCGTGGTTGATTCCGGTCATACTACTCTTCGAGTTGTTCACCATCACCAACAAACCCATACAGGTGCCCTTACCAATCGGTCTTGTTGACCTTTTTCTTGAGGGGTACAGCTACAATCTTGCCCTTCTTGGCGTAGCCTACACCATCAAGCCAAGGCCAGACGGTAGTCCTCTTCTCCTCAAACTTCTCAATCTCCTCCCTGTGTTGAAGAGTAAGACCGATGTCATCGAGACCGTTGAGGAGACAGTGCCGTCTGAAGGGGTCGACGGTGAAGGGGATTGAAGGCTTGCCGTTGGGTCGGACAACTACCTGGTTCTCGAGGTCGACGGCAATCTCAAGACCAGCTGACGCGTCCTCGTAGATCGCCTCGAGGTCAGCTTGAGGAAGCTCGAGGGGAAGCATACCATTCTTGAAACAGTTGGTCTTGAAAATGTCACCGAACGAAGGAGCCATGACACATCGAATACCGAAGTCGTTGAGCGCCCAGGGAGCGTGCTCTCGAGATGAACCACAACCAAAGTTGTTTCCGGTACATACAAGAAGAGAGGAGTTCTTCCAGGGCTCCTTGTTGAGGACGAAGTCGGGAAGGGGCTCGTTGGTTCGGACATCGTATCGGAGAGGCCAGAAGAGAGCGGCACCGAGACCGGTTCGGACAATGGTCTTGAGGAATTGCTTAGGAATAATCTTGTCGGTGTCAATGTTGGACTCCCACATAGGCGCGCAAATACCCTTGAGAACGTTGAACTTGGGAAGACCGGCAGACGCAGCAGCGGCGGCCTTGACGGGTGAAGCACCCTCCTCGGTGACCTCTGTGGGCTCGGCAGGCTTAGCGGGGGCAACAACAGGCTCGAGGTAGTCGCCGTAAGCGGTGATCTTGAGACCGCCGTCCTCGGAGAGGTGAGTTCCCATCAGAGTTCGAACATCGGTGAACTTGCCAGTAAGCGCAGCGGCAGCGACCATGGCAGGAGACATGAGGTGGGTTCGGCCACCGGCACCTTGTCGGCCCTCGAAGTTTCGGTTAGAGGTAGATGCACATCGTTCTCCAGGCTTGAGCTGATCAGGGTTCATACCGAGACACATTGAACAACCGGCCTCTCGCCAGTCGAAGCCAGCCTTCTTGAAGATTACGTCGAGACCCTCGGCTTCCGCCTGCTGCTTGACAAGACCGGAACCCGGTACAATCATAGCGTAGACACCGTCGGCGACCTTTGAGGGGCCACCGTTCTTCTGAGAGCCAATGATGACTCGAGCGGCGGATCGCATGTCCTCAATTCGACCGTTGGTGCATGATCCGAAGAAGGCCTTGTCAATCTTGACCTCGGACATGGGAGTGCCGGGAGTAAGTCCCATGTACTCGAGAGATCGGACGACGTCCTTGTGTCGGGACTCGGGGAAGTCTTTAGGGTCAGGTACGACACCGTTGATGGGCACCGTGTCCTGGGGAGAGGTTCCCCAAGTAAGAGTAGGAATAATGTCCTCGGCCTTGATCTCTACCTCGATATCGTACTTGGCTCCGGGGTCGGACTTGAGGGTTCTCCAGTAAGCCTCGGCCTTTTCCCACTCTTCTCCCTCTCGGGGACTGAGGGGTCTTCCCTTGAGGTACTCAAAGGTGATATCGTCCGGAGCGATCATACCAGCTCGAGCACCACCCTCGATAGACATGTTACAGATAGACATTCGCGCTTCCATACTGAGCTCTCGGATGGCTGAACCGGCGAACTCGATGACACATCCAGTACCACCGGCGGTACCGATGATACCGATGGCGTGCAGAACAATGTCCTTTGATGAGACACCCTCGGCGAGCTTGCCTTCTACGTTGATTCGCATGTTCTTTGATTTGGCTTGAGGGAGAGTCTGGGTGGCCAGGATGTGCTCGACCTCGGAGGTACCGATACCGAAAGCAAGGGCACCGAAGGCACCGTGGGCTGCAATGCGAAATTGTCAATGTCTGTGCGTGAACATGATATGGGCGTTCCACTCACTAGAAGTATGTGAGTCACCACAGCATACAGTTGTACCGGGAAGAGTAAATCCTTGTTCGGGACCAATGATGTGGACGATACCTTCACACCATGATTGGTCAGCTGAGTCCGAGTCTGGTTGAGGATGAAAGTGAGCATTGGCCAGCTTACCTTGTCGCTTGTCTGACATTCCAAAGTAAGTGAGACCGAAAGCTTTCACATTGTCCTCGAGAGCCGAGACTTGTTGTCTTGAGTCAGCCTCCACGATGAAGGAGGATACATCCTTGAAGTTCTTTCGGGATGCGGTGCTGCAGAGGGTGTATTGGGTGGACGATGTCAGCCACAAGGCATGTTTCGCCAGAAATCAAGTGATGATGACGCCAAGTGGACGTGAAGCGGTACTCACGGAATGTTGTGGTCGACAGTCACAAGGGTACAGTCTGGTCGTCTGACCTTTCGCCCGGCATTCCTAAGACCCTCGAAAGCCTGAGGGGAAGTAACCTCGTGCACGAGATGTCGGTCAATGTAGATCAAGGTGTCACCTTCTCCTGATCGTACGACGTGGTCGTCGAAGACCTTGTCGTAAAGCGTTCGGGGAGCGGAAGTAGGTGCGGGCATATTGATGTCGGCGTGTACGGGTTGATAGAAGCAAGGTAGTCTGGTGGCGACCTTCATCAGAGTCAACGGCCAAGCTTAAATGTGGAAGTATACGAGCAGACACAAGCAGAGCGGCGACTCACTGATTACTGGTCGACAAGTTTGCTCTGCTCGACGATAATATGAGAGCTTTTAGTTATTGAAGAGATGCGATTGAACAGAGATAGATGGCAGCACTTAAACGGCGCGAGTGTATTTATGAATAGGACTCCATAAGAGGCGAAAGAACCAGAGATCGCTGTGGTGAATGATCGAGTCATCGGCCGAAAATTGAGCCAATGACATACGCACGATTTGTGAAATCGACTTTGGTGCATTTTTGACTCGTTTGACCCCACCGTAAGGTCTCTCTAATTCCATCGGCCGAAGACCACGTGGCGGTCACGCGAAAGTGCTCCTGCCCATTCATTCCAATATCAATATTGGAGGCAGGCCAAGTCAGATGGAGAGAGTGAGGAACGGATCAAGACAGCAACACAGAGAGGTCCGAATGGAAGGAGGGTGCGCTGCACAGAGGATATCGTATAATGCATGGTATCGTACAAATGACCACAGAGGCCGTTACAGTTTGGCCCGGACGCCCCTGTCCTCCTCCACTCTGCTGTCCACCCATAACCTCAGCGCTTCAATCAAAGAATCGATGACCTCTTTCCTCATCCCCGCTCGCAGGCATATCCTAACCCGTTCTCCACCGGGTGGTACGGTGGGCGGCACCACGGGTCTAACGATGAATCCTCGTTCTAGCAGAAAGGCAGACAACGCATGCGGCTGTGGCGTGAGGAGACCCAGGATCGGCGAGCCGGGCTTGGGTGGCAGGTTCGGCGCGTCAGAATCTGGGAAGGGGATGTTGTGGTCCGGCGGGAGGTGGAGGATGTCTCGAGGCGTGCGGGCCAGTAGTATGTCGAGCTGAGAGTGGATGTATGCTGAGATGACAACAAGACTTCGGCGCCGCTGCGTCATGATCAAGAAGGATATAGTTTCAGCTAGGCATTACGACTGGTATGAACTGTTGCCTGTGCAACGTGTAGAGCTCGTGCCAGTATCGAGCGACTCACTTGGTCGCCTTCCTCGCTCTGCAATACATCCCAGACACAATCCAGAGCAATCACAGTAGAATGCGGCAAGGCCGTAGAGAAGATGAGAGGTCGAGCGAAATTGACCAAGAAGGATCGAACAGTTGGTGAACAGAGCAGGACGGCTTTACGCCTAGTATAGTCAGCGATTCTGCAGTGATTTGCCTTAATGTAAGGTGTAAAGAAGTGCGACTCACCCCCTGAACAGCCAACGGCCTTTCCGAAAGTCATCAACCTTACATCCACCCTGCCCTCGCCTCTCTTTCCGCCCTGCGCGCCGCCTTCCTCACCCAAGGCATGTACGACACCTCTCCCTTGATCGCCATACACGCCTGTAGAGTGTGCCTCATCCAAGACAACGCATTGT